ATCACCTCACAGTCATGGAATTCAATCTATTTCTAGTTCCTCAATTACATTATGAATCACATCTGTCCTCTCTTTTGTAGTTGCTTTGTAGACCACTTTTTAAATATCTTGCCATTTTATTTTTATCAAAGCACAATTAAATCACAGCTCATCTGAAAAGTTTTTGTGTTTTGCTTTAGAAGGAAAGAAAAAAAAAAAATAGATCGGTTTCTCTGTGACCCCTGACCTTTGAACCACAACCTCCTTGCCACTAAAGCGTTCAGCACCTCATTTAATCTCCCCTCTCCACACTGGTAGAGTGCTGCGAAAAGGAAACAGAAAACATAATCTGGGGACTTCATCAATTTTTCATGAATTTTCATTTAGGCCAGAACCCCCTCTTACCCTGGTCGATAGATCAAGCTGCTGTCATATATTTACCACCTGGGGCTACAGCTGCTATCTCTAGGGGCTGCCACTGACTCAGGCTGTATCACAGGCAGCCACAAAACGTGGAAGGACCCTTGTGCTCCTTCTGTTCCAAACACAGGGAGAACTGGTGTTCCAGCTGAAACCCTATCTGCACCAGCTACGCCTCTGCTCTCTTGGTGGTCTCATCGGAAAACTGCTTATTAACTTCTTCGGTGCCAGGTGTTTGCTGGGGACCCTGCAGTTCTGCTTTCAAAACAGGTGAAAACTGCTTTCACCTAAAGACCTTTCTTGAGTTCCAGTGATCTGAAAAGTACTTTCTGGATGACTTGGTTTTTTGTTTTTTTGTGGTTTTTTTTTCAAACCAAGAGGAAGAAAGCAAATATGAGATAAAGGATTCAACACTCCACAACAAAGGTTGCTCTTGAATATTTTTTTCCCTCTCCTATATTATTCTGTTACATAAAACTGAAGTTTTTATTAAAGGAAAACAGAAAAGAGAACGTGTACAGTATGGTAAAGAACAGGCTTTTTTCTATACAACCTGTCAAGACGGGCAGTTACCGATACAATTGCACATTTCATCTGACAGCAGAAACCAAGCCTTTTGAAATTAAAAATGAAAACCAAGGTGAAACAAGGAGAGTCCAAAAATCTCCATATTTTTCATCAATAATCATATTTCACAATAAAAGTTGTAACAAGTTTATTTGCTACTTATCCATACACTTAATCCCCTAAATACCAGAGATCAGTAATTCTCAATTGATTTTGACCCCCCCCAGGGGACATTTGTCAGTGTCCAGAGATATTTTTAGTTATCACAGCTGGGGTTGTGGGGGGGCTCTTTTTGGCAGCTCCTGGGCAAAGGCCAGAGATGCGGCTAAACATCCTACAACGCAGAGCACAGCCCACAACAACCCCAAGAGGCAATAGTGCCGAGACCTGGGAGCTTGCTCTAGTTCCCTCACACTCCATTCAGGGCTAGATTCTTGGGAGAGGGGCAGCATTTGCCACTCTAATCCCACCACTTACTCCTTCTTCAGCTGCCATGTTCTCTTTCCACTCCTAGAGTCCATGGAGTCCTTTTTATTTAACCAAAATGTGGCATTTGCATCACAAAACACTTTTTCTTTCTTAAAATTGTTTCCTTGTGCTTCATGTCACTTCCCTCACCATGGTGCATCACTCTGATACCTCCTCAGACCCTCCTTAACCAGTACTTCTTACCTTTGCCCACCATTAAATATGGGGGTTCCAAGAAATAAGAGTGATCTCAGCCCTTATTAACCATTCCTGGCACTCAGCCTGCCTGGGCAATCATATTTACTTTATCGACTTCCACCACTTAATTCTCCATGTGGTAAAGACCTTTTTCCTCAGTTCTAGAAGTTCCCTTTTTAATGCAACATGAGATAGTTTTACCTTGATGCCTCACCGGCATGTTAAATAACACAGCCAAAGCTGACTTCACTCTCCTGTTCCTATTACAGTTATTTCTTTTAGAACTGCCATCCCTATGGGGGTAGCACTATATACCTAGTCACTCAGTGGGAAACAAAAAACAAACAAACAAAAAATCAAACACTGGGAATCATCCATTATCCCCTAAATCCCTAAACTGACCATAAAGCAATATAGTTTATAATTTCTAAATCTGATTCAAACTATTTCCTTCTTTCTATCTTCACTGCTAGTTTCAGTTCAAAATCTAATATATACTCTTTTCATTTGACAGCTTCTTAACTCCTCTCTTACTTCAAACATCATCCCCTTAACCCGGTCTTCAATTCTCTTTCAAAGGCTCCTTTTACATAACAACAACAACAAAAAAATCTACTTTTCCAACTTATGTTGCCCACCTACCTTATATCAAGCTACCTACAGTTCTCCAAATACACAGCGTGGCTAGACTTCCATTCTTTCCTTTACTGAATGAACAGTGACATGTCATGACTGAGCATTTATGCTGAGTGTTCTAAATTATGAAAGCCAAACATTGATCAAATCTATAGCTATTCTTCTACCATTTTATAAAAAAATATACTTTAGTAACAAATAATACTGAAAAAGCACAGTGCTTCCCCCCAAGTTTCCATATTAATACATTTTATTAAACACTTAAGGGAAAAGAGATGATGGATGATCTAATGTGAAAGAGATGAGCAGCATATAAATGGGTATTATTGGCTCTTGTGTTGCCTCAAACGGCATGAACTGTTGACACGGCATTAGAAGAAAGAATTTTATTCACTAGCTAAATCCAATTTAGAAGCTTTCTTGTTTTCCTCTCTAGGTCAAAAGTATTTTTAGCATTTCTCAAAGCTCATTGATTTAAAAATAAAAAGTGCTACTGTCATATTACCAAGGAAAAAAATCATGGTTTAAATTTTTCCTCCTAAAACAGTTTGATTCATTATTAATGATGCAATTAGGAAAGAGAGCAATCTTCAGATTAAATAAAAATACAAGATGTATGTATGCTGGGAAGAATTTTTAAAAAGCTAAGGTTCGGGGAAAAAAGTGTTTATAGATGCCCAACAATAAAATGACTTCAGTAAAAATGAAGTTTTAGGTAAACTTCAACACTGAGAAGGAAAGTTAGTTGAGAATTAAAAATAAGATATCTGTTGCTGAGTAAAGTAGACAAACTTAAAAAAAGTTTTGATTTAAAAATTTTAATTTTTAGATGAAATTTTAGACCAAATTTCATTTAGAATTTCATTTCCCTAATATGGCACAATTCCCTAAAACTAAAATTAGAAGAATCAGAATCTGGTCTTCAAATCCCCATTAATTTACAGCCTGAGTCTTCATCACTTAACCATCATGGGTTTCATATTATCTATAAAGTGGGAGAATAATGCCTGTTATATTTACTACAAAGGGATTTGGTGGGGGGGGGAAATCAATGGAATTTGACATTGACATATTTCAGTATGTTTGAAAATTTCCAGGAATAAGATATTTCAGAATAAAAATAGAAGAGTTAGGAATATTGATGCTTGAGCTTTTGTGTGTGTATTTCAAATCTCACTAAACTGCATTTAATTTGACTGCTTTTTTGAACTAAGTTATAAAAATGAAATTACCTGGTGCCTTGAGCAAAATCGCATTGCTAGCTAAGGCTCTAATGCTCCTCTCTCAAACGACTTCACAAAACAAATTTGGGTTTTAGGATTCTTCTAGTCTTTTCCTTTTGGATTTACACATTTTAAGCATTACTAAGTTTTAGATTTCCTGGTACAAACTATAAATCAAAAGACCAGACACTTGAGAACAAAAGCTTTCACTGAAGCAGGTGAAGAAGAAACAGTCTGACTGTTTACGAAAAGATGATTTCCTATGTAAAGTCGATAAATCGCTGAGAATCACAATACACATATACACAAGGTTGATAATTTGTGTGATTGTAGTGTGATACCGTGTAGCCTGCGAGTACAAAGTACCAAGTTGAATTACCGACATGAGACAATGAGCTATTATTTAGCACTCTGCTTCCAACGATATAAATAAGACCTACGCATCTTGAAATAACTCAATTTTCTTATCTATGAAGACCTACTGGTACAACCAGAAAGTTGAAAAGTATGAGCTTTTTTTATGCCCAATTGTTGCCATCTTATTAATGATCAATTCCAGATAAAATCTTTCCACAGAGTAAATAATATCAAAAATTTATGGTACTGTTTAAATTATGACACCAAATCCTTATCTGTAAGACACCCCAAAAATCCATCATATATTTTAATTTGTTCTGAAAAACGATGAAGTTTTGAAGTTAATGTTCAAATAGATGCAAAGCACTGATACCTTGATTTACTAGTGCTATTTGGGCTATCTGATGAACAAATAAATATATTTTTTTAAATCCCAAAGGCAGGGCAAGCCCTTAACTATTGATGATTGCCAAGACTGAGCAAGGCCCTTCCATGTATGACCATTTGGTCCCCACAAAAATTAGATCTCTTCTTTTGATGAGTTTTATTGATAGAAAAAAATAACTAAACATAGTTGCTTGTTTCTATATTCTCCCCACATGCCTATGGTAATGATTCCTGAATTCAGACTGGAAGTAAAAGAGTTAATATAACCAAGGGAGTATATTCTTTTTAAAGGTGTCTGATAAAAATTAGACTTAGAAATATATATATATATATGTGTGTGTGTGTGTGTGTGTGTGTGCAATATGTAACAGTTATATATACATAGGTAACCAAGATAGGTACAATACTGAATTTATGCTCATTATTGATCCCATGTTACATTTAAGTTTTCATTTTAACATAGCTGGCTTTAATACTTGATTATATCTTTCATCAATAATTCAAATTTTAGCAACATCACCGATTTGCTTTAACGTAAAAATATAATTTCCACCTTGCTTCAATAGAAATAAATTTATTGCAACACCATGGCTTGACATTATTTTGACCAGCTTTGCTTTAGAGAAGGCAAAGTAACATTATCCATGGCACGTTGGCTGTTTTCTTCTTTAGGTATTAAGTACCCATGGGGACAAATCAAACCTTGCTAAAAATAAATCAAAGTAAAAGTGCATGCTGTTTACGAGATTCATTATGTTTACTTACATGCCACTTCCAGAGATGCATTTCGACTCACTGCTTCACCGAGATAGTTCCTTGCAACACAGACATAGCTTCCTTCATCGGGTTTGCTTCTGCGCCCATGTACGATGCGCAAGAAAAATAAGGATCCGCTGGGCAGAAGCATCCTGTGGGACCGGGGATCATCCTTGTCAGTCTCCACCCGCTCACCATCCTTGTACCACTCAATGGTGGGCGTTGGCCGGCCCTCTGCCTTACAGTTCAAAGTGGTGGGCTCTCCCTTAGAGACAATGACATCTGAAGGGTGCTCCACAATCCGCGGGGGGAAGTCTTCCTGGCGAAGACGAGATCCTACAAAACAGGACAGAATGAGGACAAGCGTTAACATTTTCTTATCTAGGGCACCTGAGTGGCTCAGTTGGTTTAGCAACTGCCTTAGGCTCTGGTCATGATCCTGAAGTCCCACGATAAAGTCCCGCATTGGGATCCCTGCTCAGCATGGAGTCTGCTTCTCCCTCTGGTTCTCCCCCTTCTTGCGCTCTCTCTTTCTCAAATAAATAAATAAAATATTTTTAAAAAAAATTTTTTTCTTGGGGCGCCTAGGTGGCTTCGTGGGTTAAGCCTCTGCCTTTGGCTCAGGTCATGATCTCAGGGTCCTGGGATTGAGCCCCGCATCAGGTTCTCTGCTCAGTGGGGAACCTGCTCCCCCCTTCCCCCACTGCCTGCCTCTTTGCTTACTTGTGATCTCTCTCTCTCTCTCTCTCTCTGTCAAATAAATAAATAAATAAATAAAATCTTAAAAAAAAAATGTTTTCTTATCTATAGCTTTTGTCTCTTAGGTTGACATTGTGAAATTAAACTCTTCAATTATTCAAAATGCACTTGTTACTATTTTTTTTTTCATTTTTCATACTTTTGTTCTTGATGCATCTCCTAAGTCATCCCAACTCCTTTGTGGAATGTGATAATAAAGCAATAAATTAATAGTTTAATTTGAATGAGTTAGGTTTAAATGTTCCATAAATTGCGGCAAGGAAAAGTAAAAGAGAGTATGACATTGTCTTTTGGGTACTAAAATGAGCAAGATTAGTTCATCCTCAAACAAGTACTATCTACTGGGGAACAAAGCCAAATGGGCAAGTACCCAGAATACACAACGTGGTGTGTATCATACTGGCACTGTGTCATCAGACTTCACATAAAAAGAGACCCACGAACTATGCACAAATATTCACTCAGTTTAACAGATGAGGAAGCAGGTTAGGAAATAACATTAATTGCCCAGAGAGGTACGGGAAAGAAACAGTTGAGGCAGGATTTGAACCCAGGGACATCTGACTGAGGAATTCAAGCATAAATCATTATGTTAAAGTAAAATAAATGTTGCTTGGAGGTCCAAGAAACGCACTATAGGAAGAAAGTGGAGAAAAAACTATTAACCCTAACTAGAGTGTAATGAGGCCTCCCCTGAAAAGGCATCATTTAAGTTGAGAGGTAAAGAATAAAACTATGCAAATAAAGGGAAAAGAAATTCAAATTGAAGAAACAACCGGACAAATGGGTTTTAAACACCACGCAAAGGATTGTGATCTTCATTCTATATGCTAACAGATTTTGAGAGGGCAGTGATATGACTATCCGTGTATTAGAAAGGTATTTTTGGTGTGCAGTGTAAAAGATAAAGAGCCATGGAGGCAAAAGGACAGGTCAAAGTTACTTAATTATTCCAGAGAACAATAAAAAGAACCTGACTTTGAGAAATGATGCTGAAAGTAGAAAAAAAGAGAAAGATACAAGGCATAGCATAAAATAACCCTTGACAGAATTTGGTATGTCACCATATAGTAAGGAAGAGTGATGGGCACCATGACTTCCTTTCCAGTGCAATGACAGTGGAGCCATTAAAGGGTAGAAAAAATAGGAAGGGAAGGACCTGTTGGTATTTTAAGATGAAAAATCTGCATGATGTGTCATTTTGAACATTTTTAGTTTATGAGGTGTCACAGGTCGTTATTTGTGAAAGGGTCTTAGCAGCTCCTGCACATAAATCTAAAGGAGATGGTGAGAGAAATAACCATGTCTGAGGACAGAATGATAGAATAGATACAAGCTTGAACATTTTCCAACCAGTCATCTAGTAGAACCACATTTCAGCTCAATAAATAGAAGTAATATTTACTCCTCAATGTTATTCCACTTTATTTTCACTATTAATTAAAAATACACATTTTTAATTTAATAAAGGGTATTTAATTATAGTGAATGAACCTTTTCTTTTCTGAGGAAGATTAATTTTAAAGGTTGTTGAATATCATTTGTTATCTCATCAGATCCAAGAAGGAACTTAAATACATTCCAAGTGCAGAGTACCTAAAGCCAAAGAGTAATTTACAATACACGGGTCAGAATTTTTTTCTTTTTAAAGTACTAAAGAAACCCAAAGCATTTAAATATGAACAGGTAACCACACTGTGCATCACAACAAAGAAAGTTATACTTTGAAAGAACTGGGTCCCTAAAGCAAATCAGGACTTTAAAGAACATAAAAAGTAAGATTTATTTTTAAAAGAAATGAATAAAAAAAGATCTCAAACCATTTAAATGTGAATGGCTAATCACAGTTTGCAAATCAATAACATATTCCCAGGTATAATGGTCTGGACACAGAGCCACAGAATCTGATTCTAGAATGGAACAAGAGTTTAATCTCACTTTTCATGTAACAGGCATATAGGCTATAATCATTTTGTTTAGATACCTTTCTAGTTCTTCTCTAATTTCCCACATGCATTTATCCACAGCTCCCCTATGTCAAAGTTGTTCTATTATTAAAACTAAGCAAGTCAATCATCCATGTTAGTAAAGTGCTATTTACTTTATCAAATAGTTCCCCACCTTATTAGGCAGTTGGCCCAGAGACGGCCTGCAGAGGACCTGAAATACACTAATATTTATTAATGAATATAAAATAATTGACTTATAAAAGGAAAAACAGCAGAGTATCTAAACTGCTTAGCAATAAGATCTAGCGTCCAGCATGTCTAGAATTTCACCCATTTATCACTACAACATATGTAAACCTATTCTAGTGTGTCTCATTTGGATATTCTTTTAATCATTTTATTCCCACTGTTATAAAAACTTCAAAAGGACATCTACAATCTAAAAAAAGAGGTAAAACTATCGATTAGAAGAATTATAGGAGCAAATTTTTCATGACCTTGACTTAAGCAAGACTCTCTTGGGCACCAAAAGCACACACAACAAATGAAATAATAAATAACTTTTGTTCATTGGATTTAAATATTTATGCTTGAGAAAAAAAAATTAGAAGAATGAAAGCACTATTCACAGAATCAGAAAAAAAAAATTTGCAAGTCATATGTCTGAGGGCTTTTAGATCTACAATATATAAGGAACTCATAACTCAATAAAAATACAAATTACCAAATTTTAAAATAAGCAAAGGATTTGAATAAACATTTATGCAAAAAGCCAGACAAATGGCCAGTAAGTCAAGAAAAGATTCTTGACATCATTAGTTACTAGGGCAATGCAAATCAAAATCTCAGTGAGATACATTTCACACCCAGAAGAATGACAATACTAAAAAAAAAAGTAAAAGAACAAGTATTTTTGTGGGGAGAGGGATGTGGAAAATTTTAGAGCCTCGAACATTGCTGATGGGAATGTAAAATGGTGCAGGTGCAACCACTTTGAAAAATATTCTGGATTTTCTTAGACATGTTTTGGAATAAACAGATGACCCAGCAATTCAATGGCTACGTACACATACTCAAGAGAAAGGAAACTGTATAGCCACACAAAAACTTGTACCTGAATGTAGTGCAGTGTTTGTGACAGCATTATTCATAATAACAAAAAAAAGGGAAAGAACGCAAATGTCTATCAACTGATGAACAGACGAATACATGTTGTGCATCCACACAATGGAGTACTACTCGGCAATAAAAACAAACAAAACCAAAAAAACAAAAAACAAAACAAAAACAAAAACAAAAACACCGAAGTCCTTATATGTACTACAGCATGAAGCTTGAAAACATTATAGAAGAAGCTAATCAGAAAAGGCTGCATATTTATACCATTTATATGAAATGTCCAGAAGAGGAAAATTCAGAGAGACAGAATGTAGGTTTGTCATTATCGAGGGTGGGGGATGGGGATCGGACGTGAAAGGGTCTAGGGTATCTTTAGCAGGTGATGAAAATATTCTAAAATTGCTTATGGTGATGGTTGTACAACTCATGAAAATAATAAAACACTATTGAATTGAACACATTAAATGGGTGAATTGTGTAGCATATGAATCATATTTCAATAAAGTCATGGGTAAGGCACTATGAATAAATTTATTATAAGGAGTAAGAATTCATGTTCACTCATATCAACAGCTAGGTTATTTTCTTCACTTATAATTCTTGGTTTTAAATATAATTATCAGGGCAGCAATAGCCGATAGGGCAGGCATTAAATAAAGCTGAAATGTGCCACTATACAGATATATAAACAGAGACAGACATGGAGATACATCTAAATTTTAAGATGCTATTAAAAGTGAGTGGATTAATTCTATACGTCCCAAAATCCAGACATTACACAATATAGCAGTGACCTTGAGATGGATAAGTTTTAGGTAGGTTATGAATTCTTCAGAATTGTGTAAAAATGGGCATAATTGTGTGGGAAGAACAGGAGAGATGTGAGGGGGAACACAGATTTCATCAAATTTGCGAAGAGATCTGGATCTTTAAAATGAGGGAGGACCACTAAACTACCAGGTACTCTGAACTACTGAGTTATGACCCCATTATTTCATTAAAACAAAACAAAACAAAACAAAACAAAACAAAAAGACGGGAGTTGTCCCCTAAACTCATTGGCGATTCAAAACTGACCAGTAGAGGGGGCTGTACATTACAGGAAGGACCCTGAAACTGTTTAACCAAGACTTTGATCTCCAAAGGCATCTGGGAACTACAGGACCCCCAGCCCAACTCCAGACCTATCCAATCAAAATCTGCATTTTAACAAGACCTACCCCTACCCCCCTCTCAGGGATGCCTACGCACATAAAGTTAGAGAAGCCACGCTCTAACCAATTTTTGTATGGCCCTCAGCTAAGACTGTTTTTCCACTTTTTGTGTTGTTAGAAGACAGACGAGGAGGTCTAAATGCTGGAAATATCTGCTGATACTTTAGAAAAAGTCTGCAAATCCTGCTTTAGAGTACCTGTACGTCACTTTCCACTAATAACTCTAGCTTTTTCACTTATATTTCTTTTGTATAGGATCATAAAAATGTAAACTCCAGATTTTAGATGGAAAAAA